CGTGGCTCCCGCAGGCCAGCTGTGGGCGAGTCCACTGGGAGGTTCCTGCCGCTGAGCGCCCGTCCCAGGTGGCAGCCCGGCCCTCGGACACGGGGACACACACCTGCCTGCTCCCTGACGGGGGGGGGGGATGTCCCCTGCAATCCACTCCCCCAGGCCCCACCTTAGCCCCCACACCAGGGGGTTGTGCCCCCAGAGAAAGGAGGGCGCCTCTCCTTCACCCGCCCCGAAATCAAATTCCCCAACTGACCCCGTGCCGTGGGGTGACCGGTACGTCTCTCTCTGTTGTGAATGTATCTGGTGAGTTACTACATGATAACAAACAAAGTCACATTTGTTTGAACATGTAGTGAATCGTGTTGGAAAAAAAATTAAACAACTCTGTGAAACTGGAATTGTCTTGGAGAATCTGGAAGGTGGAGTTCTTGTGATTACGCCTACTCGCCCAAGAAGTGAGTCACGGCTTGCATCAGTCAGCAGTGAGCCCTGGCCTGCTGGTCGACCGGCGACGGCGAAACAGGAGGAAATTTAGGGGCAGAGGCAAGCGGTGGTTGACGCCGGGCATGGCCGGGGGAGGCGGGTGGCGGAAGGGCCGGTTTCCGAGAGCCGGACCCTCCCCAGCCCTCCTCTGTGAGCAGCGCTTCGGCCCACTTAAGGACCAGAAATTAATTTTATACTAATTTGTACTCTGCTTATATTCCTGGGCACTTAATTTGAAAGTGCACTTGAGAACTAGTCTATTAAAAATAATTAGAGACTGGAAATAAATGACTGTGAAGTTTCAGGGGTCAGTCAACAAGATTCTGCTTACCACTTGGTTTTTACTTCTTTTAACCAACGCTCTGCTGCCTGTAGCAGCATTTCCTGCTTCCCTAAAATGAGGCTCGGTCTGCGGTGTGTGGGATCCCCAAAGGTGTGCCGCAGTTAGAACCGGGGCTCTCGCTGCCCCGGGCAGCCTGAGCTGTAGTGTCGCCACTGTCCTTTCACACACCCCCCCCCGCCGGTCTCAGCTCCGGCACTGCTGCTCGGGGCCAGGACCGAACCCCCCTTCCTGAGCCGAGGGGCCCCGGGGCCTTCCCATCTGGTTACGTGATCCCCTTCTGTTTACAGGGTTGCCATCACACCCCCATAAGTACCCAAGCTAGACCATCTGGACAGAGGGGGACTTGCAGAACTTACTTCTCGTGGATGCTCGGGAGGCAGCTGACGGCAAGCGCCTGGTCACATGGTCACTGTCCCTGCCACTCTCCCTCGGGCAGTTTTTCTAAGCCACACGCTCAATGCAGAGGACCCCCTGGCTGGGCGGGGGGTGGGCAGGGCAGTGCAAGGGCCCTGCTCTTCCCGAATCTTCCAGCCAAAAGGAGCCAACCCCGTCCCTGAGCTGCCAACAGCGTCCCTTTGCCCCCCCCCATCTTTGTGTCGCTTTCCCTCTGTGGGCGGCTGCCTCCCCATCTTCACCCGGGACACCCGGCCCGCCCACTCTGCAGTGTTGTAGGGGGTCCGGGAGGAGCTCACAGAACTTTCACTGTAGCTGATATGATCAATAACACAAAAAACCCAAGACGTGCTACAAACTGTTAAGCTGATAGGACGGTTCAGCAGAGGGTCTGATACAAGAGAAACTTAAAAAAAAAAAGTATTTCTTTGCATTAAAGGTCCCCATGGTGAAGACATAACAGAAAAAAGATCCTACTCATGATATGGACAAGCCTACGCAGTAGCTAGGCATCAGCCTAATGAACAATTCCCAGAAGCCACATGAAAAAAAAAATCTAAAACTGGACTGAAGGGCGTGAGAACAGCGTAGTAACAGAGAGGGGTACTATGCACCCAAACAGGGAAGCTGTTGTAAAGCTACAAATTCTGACCGGATCGACCTACACGTGCCAGGTAGCCCCCCTGGGAACCTCCGCAGATCAGCACAGGACTCAAATTCTGATTCTAAAATTCACCAGAGGAGAAAACAGGCAAGAGTAGCCCAGAAGCTTTTGAGGAAAAAAAAAAGAAAAAAGAATAATAACAAAAGGAAAACTTGCTTTCAGCAAGGTTGCCAAGAAAAACTGGGGAAAGAATTAGCCTTTTAGCAAATGGTTCTGGGGAGCCCTGTGTATCGGCAGGCAGAAGAATGAAACCGGGCTCCTTCTGGGAGCCACAGATTTCCTCCAAGTGGACAAAAGGGATGAACGTGAGAGCTAAACCTATAAAACGCTTACAAGAAAACACAGGTATAAATCTCCATCACCTTAGATTAGCTGATGGTCTCTGGGATAAGCACCTACAGCTGAGCAACCAAAGGGAAAAAACAGGTTGCTTGGCTTTTGTCAAAATGGTCAACTTTTGCACTTGAAAAAACACTATCCAAAGAGTGACAAGACAACCCACAAAATGAAAGAAAATGTGTGTGAACTTCATGTCAGATAAGGGTCTACTATCGAGAGTAGATAAAGAAATTTTCCAACTCGGCACTGAACAGACAATAAGCCCGTTAAAGTGGGCAGAGGACCGGAGTCAACGTTTCTCCAAACAAGACGTGCAGATGGCCGACAAGCACGTGAGAAGACGCTCCATGTCATTAGTCACGAGGGAAATGAAAACCAAAACCGCAGGGCGGTACCGGCTCGCACGGGGATGGGCAGGGTCGAAAGGACAGGCAGTCAGGGTGGGCGAGGACTGGAGAACTGGGAACCCCCGGGCATTCTGGGAAACCGGGCGGGAAGCACTTCGGAATTCATTCGCACAGTTACCACGCGGCCCAGCGATTCTACCCGTGGGTGCGTAACCACACACCCACTCCCGGAGTGGACCCAGGAGAACAGCAGACGTGTGCCCACACAGACACTTGCTCACAGATGTTCAGGGCAGCAGCGTCACAGCAACCAGACTGTGGAAACAGCCCCGCCCCCCAGTCTGATGACCGGGAAACAGGGAAACAACACCTGGTCTGTCCGTGCCACGGAATTGTATCCGGTGTGGGAAGGGACCACATACTGATGACACCTGCTACACCATGAGTGGGCCTCGATCCGGGTGCTCAGGGAAGGAAGCCAGACACGGGGGCCACGCACGGGCTGCGTGATTCCACAGTGGGAGCTGACGTGAGTGGGGCAGGCAAACCCACAGACACAGGAGGTGGCCTCGTGGTGGCTGCGGCTGGGCCAGGGGCCCTGGGGATAACCCCTGACGTTTCCATTAGGCGGATGGGCGAAGGCTTCTTTTCAGAGTAATGAAAATGTTTTGGAATGAGACGGTGGCAATGGCTGTACAACACCGTGAATATATTCAAACTGTGTCCATTTAAAAGGTGAATTCTGCGGCATGTGAATTTATCTTAAGAAAAAAACTTGATCTTGATGTCAAAATGCAGTCTAGACCAATGGTAACTCAGATGGGTGCGGTTGGCAGGAGTGGACACGGGAAGGTGGGCCTCCGTGGAATTGCGTGGGGAGCACAAACGTGAAGCTACATATGACATGCCCACTCGACGTGTGACAAGGCAGCGTTTCCGATCATACACGTGTGCACACTCAACATGTGACAAGGCAGCATTTCTGATCAGCAAGGAAAGGAAGTGGTAGAAACAGCTGGCTTCTGGGTTATGGGGAAGTTAAATTCCAACCTCACACCCCCCAAACAATAAATTCCAGGTAGATTAAAGAGCCCACTGCAATGCTATAGAAACAGGAGGGAATAAAGGTGGACGTGCCGGCGACCTTGAACGAAGCCACCTTAGGCCATGCACACCACGCATGAAGGTAGATCCAACTGTATAAGAACTGGAAGCTGTACAATAAGGAGGTTAAACGGACATTTCTCACATAACAGGCAAAGTACTAATACCCTGAATGTATAAAGAACTTCCGGAACCAATAAAAAAGCGTCAGTTTAACAAACAACCTGCGCCACTCCCATCCCCCGCCTTTAGCTGTGGTCCAGATGACCCCGGGATCCTGTCCTGCCCTCTCAGACACAGGGTCATCGTGGCCCCTGTGGTGCGGGGTTCTCCGACTCCCTCCACGGTACCATTGTTGCTGGTCCCTTTCTGTGCAAAGGCCAGGTGGTCCCTGCAATGCCGGTTCCGTTGGCAGAACAACGGGGCAGCGAGCCCCGCCCTGGACACAGTAAGCGATGTTGTCGTGCGCGAAGGAACCTCGTGCAGGGCCACAGCAGGGACAGTCTGGAGCCCGTGTCCACTTCGCTTTACCCTCAGACCGCCCAGCCCTCGGCTGCGGGGCCCCACACGCCCGTGGCGTCCAGCGGACTTGGGCGAGGAGGGCTGCGTGTACTCGGCCACTTCCGGCCAGTCAGCCACCGCACTGAGGCTGCCCCGTAACCTTTGTTCGATGGCAGACTTCACCCTGATTCTGGACAGAAGCGGGTCTGCACTGAGAAGGAAGTGTCCATCCTGGGCCTTCTTCTCGCAAACACTGACATTGTTAAAGAAGCGGAACCTCGCAGGCCCATCTCGGAGGGAGTTTGACTCAGACGTAGGACACCTTTCAGGTTTTCTCTCCTGCCGAGTCAGACGTTTCGCTCTTACTTAATTGGGCGATTCGGTGAGGTTCCCCGATCTCTCCTCTCCCCTCCCTCTCATCGGCTTTTCTGGTTTCAGAAGCCATGGGCGTAGCCCTCGTTGTATTACATTTCACGGCGTGCGTGACTGCCCGCAGCACACCTGAACTCGTCACGAGTGAGGGTCGGTGAGGGCGGCCTGGCCGTGCGGGCACAGCCGGTTGTGCGGCTGAACTTGGTGGACGCTCGGCCCCACGGCTTTCCTGAAGGGTGTCAGAGACAAGAACGGACCTGGGGTGCATTTCCAACCCTGGCCGTAGACCCCGGCTGGGTCACATCGGGCTGAGCATTTAATGTTAGGACCCCTCGTGTAATGTTTTATGCAAAAGGAAATTCTATCGTTCAAATCAAGTGGAGATGACCCGGGGCAGCTGCTGGATTAGGAGCGGGCGAGAAGATGCTGTGGCTGAACTGCCTTTCTCCTTTTTCAGGGTCACTGTTACTACCACGGGCACGTGCACGGATATCCCGGGTCGATGGTCAGCCTCAGCACGTGTTCTGGACTCAGGTAAGTACATGGCCGTGACAGTGACCGCGCTGGTCTTAAGCACGGCCACTGCAGACCACCTCCCCCTTCTCCTGTTCACTCCAAGGCTCTGAGAGGGAGTCACGGGGTCTCACTTCCCCGGACCAGACAGGAGACGGCGCCAACGGCTCGCAGGCGCACAGCTGACCCGGGCTCACGGTGTCCGTGTCCGCACCTCTGTGTGCACCGCTCCCTAGCCGATGCTCGCAGGGTCCGTCCTCTCTCCCCCTCCACCTTCTCCTGCTGCTGGCTTTCTCAGGCACGGTTCAGTTTGTGTCGTCTGAGGGTTGCGACCAGCGCCAGCCTTGTGTGCTCAGAGGACAAGGAAAAGAAGGAGGGCCCCTTTTTCAAGCTCAGCAAAGGTCCCCCAAATGCACCGTACTGGTCCTGATTGGGTCATAGCTTCACCCCTGAAACAACCACCATGGCCAGTGGTGGACACGGCGCCCTGGTTTAACACGTTCTGTGCGCACCCGCTGGGCCAGGCTGAGGGTGACCCGCGCCCAGCCCCGGGGCCAGGAATCAGGGCAGCCGTGAGTGCGTGGAGGAGGACCAGCGAGCTTCTGCCGGGAGCGGGGCACGTGAGGGCCGGGGCGCTCAGAAACGAACAGCACCCGCCGCCCCCCCCCCCCCGCCCCAACCAGCTTTCAGGCCTTTAGGAAGAAGTTTTAAATGATCAAAACCGAGACCTGGCAAAAACGGAGGCACCCACATTGGTCAAATAATTTCCAGGTGACGATTTACAGAATATCCAGTTCTTGATCAGTACAGAGAAAAGGGGCGTCTCCGAGGTCTTCCTAATAGCTCTTTTTTACGATACACCAAACAGTGTACAAGCCAGTGACATTCACTAGTTAGCTTCAGAACTCAAGGAGAACAACTGGGCGGCAGATTCCTAGAGTAACGGTCGCGCAGAACAAAGGTGCCCTCCTCTGTGCTTGGCCTTGCCCCTCCCTCGGTCAGTCAAAACTCCCCACCCTTCTCCCCAGGCTGGCCCCCCACGAGCTCAGGGGCATTGTCAGGGTCCCCGCCTCTGCCCGCGCAGAGAGGCCTGTCTCTGCGGCCGATTGTGCAGAATGTCTGGGTCTCAGCATTCACCTCTGACCTCCAGCCCTTGGAGGACATGCCTTGCAGGGACCTGGCACCTCCCATAACCTGGCAGGGAGGAATCCTGTGACGCCCTCTTGGCTGGGATCTCAGGCAACGTCAGGAGAGTGAGGGCTGTGGCGTCCAGTGTCAACCCCCAAGAGGGGGCGGGAGCAGGAAGGGGACGCTGCCTGCAGACGGCGCCCCCGAGAATTTGCCCTTCCCGGCCTTTTGTGCTGTTGCTGCCAGAGGGGGCGGGGCAAGTCCGCAGAGAATTCGGGAGGTGGGGAGTCCCCTTCACGACCTTGCCGTCCTTGCTGGTGGGGCGTCGGGCCGGTGGGGCGTCGGGCTGGTGGGGCGTCGGACCGGAGGGAGTGCTCAGGCCAGTGGGCTGCTCTCCAGCAGGGGACTCAGTGGGGGCCAGAAACCAAGGGGAAATGCAGCTCCCCCAGCACCGGCCCGGCAGACTTTGAGAAAAAAAAAAGGGGGGGATGAAGAATGACGTTAAACACGGGGTGACCCAAAGATGCGTGCGGGTGTAGGAATGTGGGGGGAAACTCGAGTGTCCCGGGGGGGACGGGGGGGACACATCAACGAGAGCCCGGCCGACTCCAGTTCTGCAGAGAAAAGACAGAGAGGGAACAGCCCACGTGCTCGCTCCGAAAGGGGTGGATCGGAGACGGGCAGGCCAGAGCACCGTCCCGGCGCGGGGAGGGGCGGAGGGAAGCAGGCAGCCATCCTTCCGCTGAAGCTGGAGGGGAAAGATCGGGGAGGGAAAAGCACCGGCGGCGGCGGCCAGGAGGAAGGGGGTCGAGGAGGAAACAGCTCTTCCCCGGAGGGGACGACGTGCGAAGTGGAAGACAGGCCGTGACAAGGAGTGCCACCCTGGCGTGGATTCCGCCTCCCACCCCAAGTCCAGTGGGAGGTTCGGGCCCCGAGGTGGCGCTGTGCCGTGAAGGGGACGTTGGTCCGGCATGCTCGCCGCTCCTCGGTGCAGTTTCCGTGGAATGCCTGTGGTTCTCCCTCATCTGGTCTCTCACTGGCTCCCGCACTCCGGGCCTCTCCCCCGCTAGTGAGCGGCCAAGGCCACGGGCACCCCCGGGAGCATCAGGCACACGCAGACGTCAGGCTGTCATGTGGTGGGGAGGGGCTCCTGCTCCATCCCCAGAGGAGCGACCCTGCCGTGGCTTGTAATGGGACAGACGTCCAGCCCCGGAGCATCCAAACAGGCGTGTCCCCGTGACCTGATTTTATTTGTAAATGCCCCATCCCCACGCCCTCCCAGCCCCCCGAGAGCCACGAGCTCCGGGAGGGAAGACACGGTCCCCAGTCCTTCCCGTCCCCCTGCTCCGCCCGCTCAGCTGCTGCGCCGTTACCTGGTGCCGGGGGCTCAGGGCGCCCCCAGCCGGACTCAGCCGAGCGCGTCCCCATCACCTGCGGGCCTGGGGCTTCAAACCAGGATCCGCTTCTCAAGGGGCCACCTGGGATTTGACAGACGTAAGCCAGGCAGTCACGTGAGAGAGGAGGAAGCCGTGTCTGGATGTAACCGGGTGCCGGGCGTAACAATGACTTCACTTTTAAGTGGGGATTAGGATACCTGAGCACAAGGTGTGCACGCCCTTACGCAATCATGCTGCCACGCACGTGCACTTACATGCATGCACTGGCATGCACACAGGCGTGTGTGCTCACACACACAGCTACGGTCACACACATGCACTCACACACCCTCACATGCACTTACTCACACTGTCACATGTGTACCCAGACGTATGCAGGTGTGCACGTGGGTATTCACATGCACGTGTGCAGTCATGCTATCACACACATGCACTTGTACATAGGTATTTGCATGCACCTGGGCACACATGCACTCGTGTGCGTGGTCATGCTGTCGTACATGGGTGCTCGCACATACATGTGTGCTCACATGTGTGTGTGCACATGCACGTACTCCGTGACGTGATGATGACACTCAGGCTATGTCAGACTTTGTCCTTCGTTGCAATCGCAGCCTCTGCGGTCACGAGGGCCAGGACGATGCCATTGCCATTGGCACCGTGTCACCGAGCAGCCGCCTGAGGCACGGTCCTCAGGGCTCCCCCCCGGGGCTGCAGCTCCGAGCTGCGGATTCTCAGGTCATGATGCTTGTCACCCCCCTCCCGGGTCAGCTGCCACCTCCAGACAGAGGCACCCCTTGCGTTTGCATGGAGCTTCGGTGTGTTCTTGCACGATGCTCCCTGGAGTCACAGGCCAAGGCGGCTCTCCTCAGATGACAGATGAGGAGGCGACTCCCCGTGGTCCCTCGGCCACAAGGGGCAAAACCCCGTCCGAAGCCCAAGTCTGGCCGACTCCTCGTTCCGGACGGTCCCACTGAGCCTTTTGCGCAGTTGGGACCCAGCCTTCCCTTTCAGCGCGTCATCCTCTACCCGGAGGCGGGTCCCCTCCAACCCTCCGGCCACGTGGCCCCTGGCCCGGGCTCTGCACGGCTGTCCTCCCTCCCGGCGCTCCCTCCCGTGGAGACGCTCCTTCCGTCATCCTGTGCCGACATCTGAGGGAGCCAAGGTCTCCGCCCTGAAGGACTCCCGAGGTCAAGTCTCGGCTCCCCCCAGGCCCGGTCTCGCTCCAAGCTTGAGACGTCCAAATCCCAAGCTCCTCTGGGCCTGCTGACCGGCCCTGCTGAGCGGGCTCTCTTCTGGGTGAGGCCCCGCCCATCTCAGGCTCCTGGGCTCGGCCCTGGGCTCTCTGACAGCCCCCTCCGGCCCCTGCGCCCACCGCCCCCCACCCACCGCCACGCGGCACCCCTTCCACCCGTCTCTGCCCAAACACGTCTCGTCACCGCCCCAGATCGACCCTCGCTCCAAGATCTTTAACTGGCCTCCCACCCGTGCTTCCTGCCTCCACCCTTCCCCTCACGGCCCGCTCGCGCATTCCAGAAGGTCGTGTTTCAGAAACGCTGCCTGATCCTATCCTCCGCCCCGCCCCCGCCCTGCACTCAGAACCACAGGGCTCCCCACGGCCCCCACGTCCCAGCCGCGCCTTCACGCCCAGGGATCCTTATCGATCCCCCACTCACACCCTGACCGCCGTCTGGTCGGGCCGTGCCAGCGGGGCCGGGAAACGAAAATGAAGAAGGAAAGTTCTCCCTGTGGGTATAAGCAGCCAGATAGCTTTATTCTTTTTTTTTTTAAGATTTTATTTATTTATTTTTAGAGAGAGGAGAAGGGAAGGAAAAAGAGGGAAAGAAACATCAATCAGTTGCCTCTCATTCGTGCTCTGACCGGGGACCGAACCTGCAACCCAGGCATGTGCCGTGACCAGGAACCAAACTGGGGGCCTTTCGCTTTGCCGAATGACCCCCAAACAAGTGAGCTAACACCGGTCAGGGCGGGGCATCGTTTTACGACACTGTAGTAAGCGCTGTGACGTAGTGAGCTGAGAACCACAGGGGCAGCTCCGCAGAAGGGCCCGGAATGCTGGGGGGTCCCACTGGAACCCAGGCTAACCTGCACGTCAAAGGTTATGCGTCAGCCTGGAGGTCATTGCTGCAGCCAAGGGCTGCCCCGGGAACATGCAAGGGCTTCGGGCAGGGACACGGAGGAACAGGACAAAGCAGCTGGCATCCTGGGAGTGGCCCCCAAGGGTCGTAGTGCACGGGGCAGGTCCTTTCCTCGGAGGCCCCGGCACGGAGGGGGAAGGCAGAGCAAAACGGAAGCAGCGGGCCCCGGCAGTGGGGTACCTGAAGTGCTCACAAGAGGCAGTGTTTTAGTCGGCGTGAGCGGCGTGTAGACAGGTGAGCGGCGAGGCTACAGTGCGGCCTGAGGCCCGAAGCCAAGGTCAAGGGTGGAGGCAGAGATGGGAGCCGCGGAGTCCCATGCCCTGCCTTCCTTCCAAGG